TATTATATAGCTTCGGCCATTTTCTCGATAAACAATTCATACACGTGCAAGGTATGCAGTGAATTCGCGATAGAGAAAAACAGCGCCGACAATATGTCGCGCGAAGTTTAACTGTCGATAAAACGAGCCGATTGTCGAATCCCATTCAGGGTTGAACGTCGATCGAGAGAGACCAATAGCGAATAGCAGGTGCGATCGTATGCGACAGCGACGTTGAGGCCAACCGCAAAGCCGTGCTGCGAGCGACTCTCCTATATACAGAGATAATCCGTAATCCTTCAATTATTATCGAATTACAATAATTATGGCCGGACGTATAATACAAACGTCTCCCGATCATGTCTATCGTGGATTGGCAAAAATAACGCGTTGCAGCAAAAAGTTCTATTGTAGTAATTTATCTTATCTGTTATATGCAGTTATTAAATAGTACATATAGATGTAACTTTATGTCACGAATCATATATCGTGTTGATTATTACTACTGCATTTAATAAACACATTTTTATATAAATTAGCTCCGTATGATAATATCTTTATTATATGCACTCCAAAAAATATGGGCATTAGATTTAACACCGTAGACGTTAAATATCAGAAGTGTCTCGACGCGAAGATACACGAAGCGACGAAATCGATAGTGTATCTTTACGCGAGTCGTCAATTTTTTTTCAGTGTAATTCTTATACTTGTTAGTATTAATATAAATACTAATTCATGATGTGAATTTAACAGCATGAATTGTAAACCATAATCTACATCATGTTAGTATTTATATCAACACGGTGAGAATTATATAAACACCGCATGATGTTAAATCCACATTCATATTTTTTAGAACGTACATATAGTATAATACGTATTACAAAATCTTACTGTCACGGTTTTTAATGGAACGGTATTAAGCTATTGATACGTCCGACAGAATCATCGAAATGCCGATACTGAAGTACGGTTATATTGATGCCCGGTATAAGACATTGTCTATATACAAGGGTAGGTGGGAAAGATATAGAAAGGAAAAGAGAGGTACATTATTTTCTACAACTAGGAGAAACCACATTTCATTCGAAGCCAGTGTCCATCCCCGATCATCATCTTCGACTTTAATTTACCGAGGTAGAGTGGTCTTCACATTTCTGCAGTGACATCGCACTCGCTGTATGTACGTTGCCCATACATATAACTCTGATGGTCGCTTCAAAAATCAGAAGACACCCTAGCGAACACGTCCTACCCCGCATCCGCGTCCCTCACACGTAACCCACTCTCTCGTTCTTTCCCTCTCTCCTTTTCTCCCCTTCCTCTCTCTCCCTCTCTCTCTCTCTCGTTCCTATCCCACCAAACCTCGAGTCGCGCCGATGTGGTGCTCCCACTCTAGCTCTGAACTCTGGGAAGTCACACGCACACACCAGCAAATAACGCCCACGCGGTCTGCACGGTAGGCGTGGCCATCTTGTCATTTGTCTCCTCTACTTTCCCCGAGGCGTTAGGGGATCCCCGGGATGGCGCTCTGTTCCTAGCTTGACGTATGTACTGCCGCTACAACCCCCGTTTTCGTATCGCGCTCTTCGTTTTCCGCGCGCCCGCCGCGTTCTCCTCCATCGAGTGCTTTAGAGTCGCGCGTCCCCTCCCTTCTGTGCCGCGCCGGTAGTTACTCTCCGTCTCTTTCCGTTTTTCCTTTCCGTCCACCCTGCATTTGTCATTTTTCTTCTACATATCTCCCCCCCCCCTCCCTCCCTCTCTCTCTCTCTTCTCTTCTCTATTTGAAAGATGCTTCTATCCCTCGCTCCATTTTGTTGCGTGACAACTTCTTGACGCCAGTCACGACGTCCACGGCTCCCTTTGCTGACGACGATTCTCTTACGAGGATCACGCGCGGCCCACTTCGTCTCTGACCCTTCCGGACCTTGCTCTCCGTCGCGATAAGAACGAGCCGGGCGTCGTCATGTCTACGAAGTAGTTATCGAGGAACTTGTAGGTTATTCGGTTGACGCAATACCAATCGATGTAATATGGAGAATGGACGAGATGCTAAATGCAACTTGCAATTTGATAAATCCTGAAGCTGAGAGCGAATCGCAGGCTGTAGCTAAAATCTTTCTATCTATTTTCATTTCTATCTCTTTCATATTTTAATTATAAATTTTCAACGCTATGCATGAAGATCAATAACATCGTTAAACTTAAGCGTCGTTCGTTATTTAAATAGCGAAAAAGAAGTGATTAACGTATTTAAATTATTGTTTGTTGCATTCAAGATTATTTCCAACGTACACACATACTAATATTATTTGATGTAGTACGCTCTCTGATATGTATATATCAGTACTTTTCGAAGTCATCGTGATGTTTCCTTACTTACTTGATATACATGGTGTATATCACGATGACAATGCTGTTTTTCCTAAATGATGATAAAAAGCTACCACTGAAGTCCTGACAACGATAAGATAAATTTTAGACTGCGTTCAGAAACTTCATCCGAAACTGCACCCATGAATCATTTTAATCTTATTGTTAAATCATACGTTAAACAAGGATAAAATGAAACATAGGTTCACTCAAGAAATTCCTGAATGCAGCCTTGAATTCTCAGACCAATCGCGCGTGAGCGTTGTACTATCAATCGTATCATTTGGCAGTAGATCAGACAGTTGGGAATTCGCTTTCCCTCGACAATGCTCGCGCAGACATGCCCGCAGTCGTAAACTCCTTCTACTCAAGGCACACCTCTCGAAATCGAACAATATGCTCAATAGACGACTCCAGACGTCACTGCAAACCGATATTTGCTTCGACTGATAAGCCGAACGATAACTGCGTACTAGCAATCCCAATTTTAAATAGAGCCGCAAACTTTTAGTTTTGCGAGACATACAAGATGATGAAGTTACTGAATGATTATATTCAAAACAAAGAATAATAATTTACAAATCATATTACTGTGATGATAAAAATAACAAATAGAATATACCGAGTGAGTATTATATTCGCGACTGGACTCCTAATGAATTTCATCAGGGTTTTAAATCACAGCTCAGGTAATTGTTAACAATTTTTATAAGTATACACTTACTGGTCCAAATAATAATATTTTCCTTTCATCCCTAATTAGTGTTCATCCCTAATTACTTTTCAGATATATGTTTAAAAATTTGACGAAAACAAGAAAGAAAGTTCTAGGACAGTTCAGAGCAACGATAAAAAACAAATCTAAAATAAAATATCCTGATGTTCTTTCTCCACTCTATTCTCTTCTATGAATCACGTGCGAGAGAAGCGGCAAGATTGACTTCTTGCAACAGCGTAGGAATCCCAAGCTGTTCTTTTCTGCTTTATTTGCGCGTGAATTTTCAGGTAAACAAACAGTGAGATATAGCGATGCATTTCTTACGAAGGCGAAGGGTAATCGCCGAAGACTACTTCGCTGGTGGTGGGATCGCGATCTCGCGTGGTCAAGGCGTTACGAGGTCGACCGGGAGAAACAACAAACGATAATCGTTGTAGTATAGCAAGATCCGCAAGATCGCCGGTAGTCCAAGAGAAAAGAGGAAACACCACGTGTGCGACGTATGCGTGTGCGTTCGCTCGACGGGGCAAGCACGCCAACCACCGTCTCCATCGTAGGAGGGGCAACTTCGGGTCAAAGGTGGGGTTAAAATCCGAAAGTGGGGATGAACCGGAAGGGATGCGCGTCGGTGACACTGAACGTTAACCAGTATGACCGCCTCGAATAACTATACGCAAGAGATAACTATACGAAAGGAGACACGAAAGATCGTAGCATAGAAAATTCTATTATAGCGATAATATTGTAATATTATAGCGAGATGGCTGAAAACGAACAACAGGCAAAGAAAAAACAATGACAGACCTAAGCATCTAAAGAATGACTCTGTCGCGCAGACTAGACTCACAAGACAGAAAGAAAATTCGGTGCTAGAGATCGCACGAGCAACGAGAAGTGCAGTGGAGAAGGAGCGCCATGCGATTCTAGAAGAAGGGATGCTGTGCAAGAAGAAGACGTGCAAAGGGGTTGGCTACATGGAGTGCGGTGGAGGGACAAGGCTGTGTATAAGAGATCGTAGCAGACAAGAACCCGTTTATATGAACAAGGATGCACGCGATTAAAGCGAGAGGATGCGAATCGCGAACAAACAGCAGCGAGAGAGACGCGATCGAGATGGGGTGAGCCGAGGGAGGAAAGGAGCACGAGCGGCAACGCGGACACAGGCGTGAGAGATCGTACCAAGGGGAACGAGCGGTGCTAGAGAGCGAGTAACGCCACGAGTACGAGCGAGATGTGATAGGTGGGGAGTCTGCTCCGGGTGTGGAGGCAAAGAGAGAAGGAATGGATGGAGGGGAGTAAGAGCGAGCGAGCCAGAGGGAGAGGCGCAGTCAGACAGTCAGGCAGGCCGCCCGGCAAGCAAGGAAGGCAGGCAGGCAGGCAGGCAGGCAACTATAGGCAGGCAGGCAGGCAGGCAGGCAGGCAGGCAGCCAGGCAAGCAAGCTAGCAGGCAGCCAGTGCACCAGCCAAGACCACTAGATCCGCTCGGCTTACCGACTTAGAGACTTAAGCCGGCAGGCAGTCCGAAAGGCTCAACCGGCTAAGCCTGGCGGACCCACCTACCAACCGACTTACGCGGCGCTAGCCACTACGACGCGTTTCATCTACCGGCGGGAAAATCAGGATACACCGCTGCGACCGGCGGTACCGCCGCCGCCTTCTTATATTTTCCTCTATCGCCGTGTCCCGCTCCGCGCTTCTCCTCTCCGACGCACGTTAAGGGCGGAGGTGCGAATAGTGACGAGTGCTGCGCGATCATCATCGACACGCTCGTGCCGACGACGAGCGGGACGACGACGACGGCGGCGACGGCGGCGACGTCGACGTCGTTACCCGCGGCCGCGCCGTCTGACGACGGTCGCGGGTAGGAGACCACGTTGTTCTCGTGCCACGCGTCTGTAATTCGCATGTAAACATTCACGCAGTGAATTCCCGGAGTGGCGAACGAGAATTCGGAAGTGGTGATAATATAGATCGTGGTGTCACGAGGGTGCAGTGCTCGTCCATCGCGTGCAATTAAAATTATCGCCGTAACTTTGATTGGTGACAGAAGCGGATGTCGGCTCTTGGTGAACGTCTCGCCGGAGAGAGTGGATGATGAAAGGAGTAGTGGTCAATGTAGTGTTAGATATTGTAGGGAACTTTTGATTACGTCTACAAACATTCTACGTTCTATTTGATCTACGAACGCTTCGATGACACTCGCAGAGAGGACGTAAAAGCGTGAAGAAGAATCGTGACAAATCGTGAATACTCGACTCCAGCAAAGTGAGAAACAACAGCAAAAATTCAACAGATAAAAACGGAGCAAGAGAAGTAGATGAATGAGTTCATCTACTTCAAGTGGAAGATATTTATGAGGATGATAGTGATAGTAGGTCAGCCTACTTAAGCGACGTATTTTATAGCTCTTCTAGTTTTTTTTTTACATAATATAGTGACATTGAACCGACAATTTGCCTAATTTATCAAGTCTCCATGTGTCATAGCGCGGCGTGTCATTCACGTGAATCCCGCGCTACATTTCAGAGTCTTGCCGTGAATTCGCGACCGTCCACGTAATTCCCGTCGGTCCATCTCGAATACCTCCAGCGCGTAAAAATGTCGCGTATATCTTGTATACGTTTATCTTGTCAATGATACGACAGAATCGGAGCGCCGACGGTATAACGAACACGCTGTAAAAACTGTAATCTCTAAAAAAGAGAGAATTATACGAGTATAATCTCCTTACAAACCTATGGAAGAATCCATAAACCTCATTATTGACTATATTAACATCCGCGTATTGTATTGTCTGATAGAAACCGATGCGTCAAAATTTTCATGATAAGTACTCTTTTCGAAGGAAACAAGCCGCTTGATGTTTTTCGATTGATAATCGCCTTTAAAAAACTATCACGCAAATTCGTGGTTGGCGACATTCTCTGATCTACGAGACAGGGAGGACGCTTGAATGTGTCCTTAGAAGGAGCCAACGAGCAAACCGTGATCGCGCTGATTCACGGCCTCTCGTGGGCCAGGTTGATCGTGTCACCAAGTTGTAAGGAACAGTCAACACGACGTTAACCTTCTATAGTATGGAGCGGGGCGGCGGGGCCGGGGGGAGCCTCGAACTCGCCGGAGGCGGCGGCGGTGGCGGCGGAGGCGGCGGCGGTGGCGGAGGCAATACGGATTTGTGTCTGCAGGATCTCGTAATCGGACCTCCGAGCAGCCTCTCGGTGCAGCATCATCAGCACGCGGCAACCGCCTCGATGGCCGGCCTGCACGGCGACCATCTTCAGGGCGCGATGCACCACCATGATCTCCACGGTAATTCGCATCACGATACCTCGATGCTGCACAATTCCAGCCACCAGCTGCACCATGAGCCGCTGGAGAAACTTAAACGTGGTGAGTCGTTCACAATACTAAAGACTACCGCCATCCCGCAATCATCATTGTGATTTTAAAGTGATCAGTACCTAGATGTGGTTCATTTACGAATCGTGTATCATTAGTCTATTTCTATGGACAAATTTCTATGGACATATTCAGTACCTTCACGAGATAATTTATTATTACCTATTATTGTTATAGATATTTATTAGGGATGTCAAGTAAGTTTCAAAAAAAATAATTATTAATATTATTCTGTCTTTTAAAGAGCAATAGATCTACTTTGATAGCGTAAATCCACAAAAATAATACAGTTTTCTAAAGTACAGTTTTAAAGTAGTATAGAAATGATGCCTGCTTATTTAAATTAGGTTTGAATAAATTATTTTTTTTGTAATATATACAGAGATGACCTACGGTGAGGATTTGAAACTAATCAGCTGTCATTTTCAAATGTATTCAGTAATTGAAAATATGTACACTGCGTTGAAAAGAGGAAAATCTGCAGTTTTTAATGAGTATAAATAAAAGGTTACAAATATGTTTGTATATAAGTTTATTTTATTAATGAAAAATATGCTAATAATCAAATAAACTGATGATTACTACTCCAAGATCATAAACACGATTCAAAAACAATGAAAAATTTCGCAGCTATCACAAAGGTTATCAACAATATTAAAATTGTGTAAAAAGTTTTTACGAGTTTTCATAAAAAAGAATTGAGTTTTGTACAGATTCGAATGGTCGCATTTCAAAAATATTAATCATTAGGATATTCAACGTATTTTTCATCAATAAAATAATACAATCATATTTTGTTAAATTTTATCTATATCCATTAAAAGCTACGTACTTTTCTTTTTTCAACGCAATTTTTATTTTTTAATAACTAAATATATTTGACAACGACAGCTGATCAGTTTCAACATATTCCCATAGAATATTCTGTATATCTATATAAAAAAAAATGTTATTTTAAAATTCAACATAAAGTTTAATGTAATTGCAAATGTAATTACAATTGTTTTTCACAGAGTAAATATTGCTGCATAAAATGCGTGAGATACAATGAATCAAATCGCATTCTCTAAAGTCATGAAAGAATTAAGTATGATAAAATCGTAGTAAAGTGACTTCGCGAATGAGTTTGATAATTAGGTACAATCAACATGTTAAATTCTTACATATTGATTCCGACAAGATATAAGGTTTACTTTTTCCATTGTCACATCACACCTTATCGCGTTATAATCGCTTGTAGCTGACTTGTCACAGTGCTTGATTTTATTGTTGACGATACTATCGATCCTCATTGATTCGCGCGATAAGTACCTGACGTTTTTCCTGCGTCGCGCGAGAGTATTATCGTACATTCTCCGTCGAAAATCTCGTATCATGGATGTGTCATTCGTAAAATAAGATTGATACCTATGACGTTGCACAAATGTAGGAAACTTTCTTTATTCGTCGTCGCTCGTGACATAAACGCGCTACGACAAACAAACAGACTTGTGAGGCGCAAACAATTGGAATTGATGAAATAATTCGATGAAAAAAATGAGACATTTGTTCGCATGATTTAGCGCGATGAATTTCAACGTGACGCATGATCTGAAATATTCAATTACACGCTACCTCGCCGATAAACCTTGATAAGAAAGTAAAATTTAATATATTTCCTCTCTCGTCACGCTTTTATCGAAAGATCTATAATTCAGATATGTTCACTGCAAACGCTCCCACTTTTAGAAAACATTGAAACGAAATTAATAATATTTTCGTTGTAATCAACTGCTAATCAATCATAATCTATCATGTTATCGTACTTACAAGCAAATCTCTCAAACAATGATAATCGGTTCATAAATAAATATATAACCATTTAATAAATTAAAAAGAAGAAATCAATGAACAAATTCCACGTTACGTTATTTAGAGACTCTTTGAAACTGGATTCTTTTTTTCTTTTTAATCATAAGAGACTCTTGTCTGATGAAACGACATTGATTCTCGTCAAGTGCCAGACGAGATAAAATTTTAGTACGAATAACTTTGATAAGCGTTGTGTTATTTCTACCCATGATATGAAACAGGCAGATAAAACTTCGAGCTCATTTGATAGATGCGCCGAAAACTCGAGAGTACATGCCTACTTATTTTTATCGAGGCTAAATAATTTAAACATTAGTTATTATTTAAATTTGTTATTTTCCATGGTCCGATATAACTACTTTTACTTAAATATGTCGTTCATTTGCTACAACAATGACATAACTCAAAAATTACCATTTTCTAGTTGTTCGTAAAAGAAGAGCAGAAAATAAACGTATTTAAAAAAAAAACATACTTTTATGATCTCTATAATTAATTATCACGCTAAAATTGCAAAATTTTGAAGTAATCTGAAAAGTAGTCGGCACGCTCAGTTATATATCTGAGATAATTTATTTAAATATATATATATATATATATATATATATATGCACAGATGTATTATACCAATATCTGACTTTGGCTCTTCTCTTACCTACTTACAATTAATTTATTTATTCATATGTCTTGTTTCTATAACTTATTACTAGTAATATTACAAAATTTTTATATTTTAAACTTATTTTCTGAAAAATTGTTTTTTTTTTTATTTATGTTGTAAATGAACGAATGTTATTTCAATTATTTGAGAAGATTTTGTTCTCGTATCACTTTTTTATTTTAAAAATAATACAGCTAAAAAAATACAGAAAAAAAAACTATTTTTCAACGTAACAGAAAATTATTAATTAATCAAATAATATCGGCAAAAAGAATATATTCTTAACATAACCAAATGTTATTTTCGTTATTTCATATCTCTTAAAAAAAAATCACTCTTTTTGTGCATTGTGATGATTTTAACAATTTTTTTTAAACCGCTTTTTCTTTAACTGTTTTTTTACGTAATTTTTTATGAAATTAAGTTTACTCTTGTAGATTAATAGGATAATGTTTATTTAATTTATTCATGGTAATAATTCGAAAATCACTTTCTAAGTTGTGTCACTTTTGAAATAAGGGAGCAATATTATCCTTCTTTACTCTTCCGTTACAAATTTTTTAAATGTTTAATTTGTAATAAGAAATATTTTTAAAATTGTACAAATCCATTGTATTTATACATAAGACCCATGGAAACGTTTCGTTATACCGCAAAATCTTAACCGAAGAAGACTTCGCTGAAAATGTTCGTCGAAATGGACTAGTCGAAGACGAGTTTCATAACGCGTTAGTCGTTCATTGTAATGTAGTGTCATTCGCGCGACGGGCGAATTCAGTCACACGTACGGCGATCATCGAAGACGACGAAGACGATCCTCTTCCGTGGCAACGCCACCACCTGTTTTGTGATTCATTAACTCACCGGCTTATCGGGATAAGGTAGACTTATCCGGGGCTCGAACCCGACACTGCGGCTAAACCCGATCTTATTCCAATGGCATCCTTCCTATACCTATCCCCGTTTCGGTTCCAGTTCTAGACTCGCGCCAGCGATTCCCACCATTCAGGATCGCGAGTACTCTAAGAAGAGCTTCATTTTTCTCGTGAATGATAAATCGTGCTCTCGTCATCTACATATGTAGATGAATTCCACAAGGATGGATAAATCGGTTTGTTTCGGCTTATGAATCCATTCAGAGGATAAAACTTGGTTGTACGCAATTTACAGTTATTATAAGGATTATTCTCAATATTGCTTGTTTTCCTAAGCATTATGCATTCTCAATGATTTTTCATTTAACTGCCCTATCACTATTTGAGCTGGCTCACTTTTGCATTATTTGTCGCGGCGCTTGATCGGGTCAACAGGTAGGATATTGATAAATTCAAAGCGGCCGCGAGCGAATTAAAATTTCTATCATGAACGCTACCCCACATATTATTGTCATTAATATCGCGACGGGATTACGCGAACTCTATTAATATCAGCACGTCGATGGAAATTAATGCCAGCGTCGACCGCGATAAAAGCAATGCCGTGCTCTAATGAAAATGATGCGGAAATAGCTGGACGATCGGATCGAGATTGCGAGGGAAAATTCGGTGCAAGAAGAATCGCCGCGGAAAATCTATTTATCCCCACTCGGGCCGATCGGAGGCTCAATATTTTGTCAACAGGGCGGCATACGGTCGGCTCCGATCTGCGCAGCCCCCGTTAGTCATTAACTACCCCTTTATTATCGCGCGGCCTTGCAATCGAGCCAGCAGATGCGTCGAAGTCCACCCTTAGTGCACCCTTCTCCCTTCCGGACTAATGGTGTTGACAAATTGCTCAGCTAGCCTCTATCCTCCCCGGGGAATGCGCCCGCAAAAATCTTCTCACCGCAAACTTATGGGCGTTTAGACGCGAAATTGAACCGCGACTCCTGCAGATCGCGATTCCTGTATGTAAGGATCAACTTTGTCGTGCAGTGATCTGAAACGAAACTTCAAATTCCCGAACGTAATAGAAGTAAAGGATGGGATATCGTTTCTTGAAACTGTTTTATCAAAACGCATTTGTGGCCCCGTATTTGTGAACCTACATTTAAAATTTCAATTTAATAATATAATAACGGCTAATCTGTTACATGCGTATTACAGAAGCAGAACAAGTCATCGTGACACCAAACGTTAAGGTAGCTTCAAAATGATAACTAAAAGTTACTTTCAGTTTTGATTTTTATCGTAACTTGTTCCGTTTGGATTACGCGTAAGTATGAAATGTATAATATTGTATCTATAGATAGCACATTTACTGTAAACTTTCATGGATGGCAAGTAATGCGTTATTTGTAATACTGTTATTGTTACTTTTTTACAATAACGATTTGTAATGACGTTACAATTTTTCATGATGGTAATGATAGGGTTGGAACAGTCATTTTAAATAAAAATAAATTCGATCGTTACCTGTTACATAATCAGTAAAAGTAACGCCGTTACTAATGCATTACTTTTTTTAATAAGAAACGAGTAATGGTCCTTTGAAAAGT